TTCTTAAAATCTCCATGTCCCCACCACCCTTTTTAGACGGGTGCAAGTGGGTAGAAGATTTTTCCTTACAGAACAAAACAAAATGAAGCTAGAATACAACTTAATAAGCAGGAAAAAGTCAGAATTTCACAGTTGTACTGCTGGTGTTCACAGAACTCTCCTGGGTTTTCTTTTTCCCCTCCTCTACACGTAAGTGCAATACTGTACATAATGTCTGAGAAGGGGGTTAATTCTAATATTAAATGCCCTATTTGCAGGATTTCTGTAGTACTGATTTGCTCCCCAGAAGAGTCCACGAATATTGCCGGGTGCTTGGTGCTTTCACTGTGTTGTATTTAGGTCTAAATGCACATTTTGAAGCTAATACTGTGCAGATTCTCATCTGTTGGCTAGTGTAATTTATACGAACTCTTTAAAAAGCTGTATGAATGAAGTGATTAAAAACATGTTTATTGCTTTTATGGAACCTCACTTCTTATTCAGAGAACTCTTCCTGTTATTAGGCAAATATTTTTAAGGCATTTGCTGAATTGTTCCAAGTTGCTTCAGCTAAACCTGCGCCTCTTGGTATCTGTGATTATCCGTCATCAAGAGCAATATACGCCGTTGACTTGATGCTTAAATGGGACACCAGCAGAGATGGTGAGGAGCTCATTTCTTTGAATGTTGACTTGTTTATATTTGCGGACCTTTTCAGAAATTTATTTCTTCTGTCTGAACTCTTACTGTTTTTCAAGCAGTGTGAGCTGCATGCTCTGTGCCTCCCACTGACATCAAAGCACATCTGGAGCTGCGGATCTGTGGGGTTAGCATCTACCATGCTGGTTAACAGTGATGATGGGGGAGCTGTTAACTGTGCTTGGCTGAGTCCTTGCTTCCCTTGTGCCCCTGCTACTGCCATTCTCTGATGCCATTCTCTGAGGGGAAAAAAAAAAAAAAAAAACACAAAAAAAAAAAAAAAAAAAACACAAAAAAAAAAAAAAAAAAAACACGCAAAAAAACCAACAACAAAAACCAAAACCACACACACAAAAACCCCAACTGTACAGCAATCTAGTCACTCTGACAGCAGCAAGTTTTCTTTCCCATTTATGGTGAGAGAATGTCTGAAATAGCCATGTCTTTATGAAAACCTTAGAGACATCTTACTATCTGCGGCTTCCAGGCTTGGCCCAGTGTCTTCAATGCACAGTTAGTTATTAAAGCAGGGAAAGGACCACATTCACCATTTCAGTGCTATTGATGTCCTCAGGACTGTCACTCAGTTGTTGCCACGTCTCTGCAAGAACATGTACGTGAAGGTGCTTCATGTTAGTGCCACAGCATGGCCAACTACCTGGAGCCTTTCTTCCAGCCAGTTGTGGAGGACTGGTAGCAAAATTTGCCAAACAGGGTGAATTCTTTATTATCGCACCAGAAGGCTCAAAACTGTTCTGTAAGCATGCCCAACCCAGACATGTGTCTCTTGTAGGTAGAAAAGCAGCAGAGGCACCAACACAAAAAGGACTGCTGGGGGAGTATTAAACAGAACTGAGCATACTCTTTTCTTGTAACAATGTGGTCCCCGGGACACAGGAAAAATTCATCACTTGTGTCCAGGTTTGCTGGAGGAGTGATGAGATGATGTATGTTGGGTGGGTGCCCCTAGCCCAGTCCTGCAGTGGCTGATTCTGTAAATGTTGAATCACTTTCATGGAGTGAGATGATTGAGAAACAGGAGGTGTACAATTGACCCTTTCGTGCTCAGATCAAGTGGAGCAAGGGGTTGAATTTGGGTCTGCTACGTCCATGTTGAATGCTCTTTCAGCTATCCCAGAGTTGTCTTGAATGGGAGAAGCAAAGCAACTCAATATTATTACTAGCTCGAGGACAACTATTGTAGTAAAAGGACCAACCTCACATTATAGCCCTGGCTGAACTGCGTAGGTCCCTAGCCTTTTGAAGATGGAGGCATGGGTGCCAAAGTCATGGCTGTGATGCTGTAGGCAGCCTATGGACAAATAGGTTAGTTGCTTCTGTGCAGAGCACAGTATGGTTTACCTATGCATCAGAAGCTTGTACCCTCACTTACGATCTCAACACCAGACAGGAAAGAAAATCCTTTGTTTCTCTTTGCACAGAATGCATTTGATTCTGAACTCTGAACCATACTGATGAAGTTTTAAGAGAAAATTAAACTTCCTGACTTGCTTCTAGGAGTGGGATGAAGTGGCAGGTGGGAGAGGCTGGAGTGTAACGGAACAGGACTGCTAGAACTAGAAAGGTAGATATCTAAGAGCTTTAAGAAAGGAAGGTTTGTACTGAAATGTGAAAGGAGAAGCAGAGTTTTCTGGAAGACGTTTCAGACTGTCAAGCAAGACAGCTGTATCGGGGAGATCCTATTAAATCGCTGCGAATTCTCATTCTAAATGAGACATTGGATTACCACAGTGATTGCAGAATCTGTTGGATAATTGTCCTCTGGATAATGATGGTAGAACAAACCTCCATCCCTCCAAAAAAAACCAAACCCACTGAAATAAAAACACTTTACCGGCTTGCCAGCTTGTGTCATAAAAAATGGCTTTTTCCAGTCATTTTCTATAATCTCTGGCTTAAACACAGGTAGTGGTTCAGGATCTCTCTAGAGCTTGTAGTAAGAGGCAATGTTTGTGTTCCCCTTTACAGGGAAAAGAATTATGCAGCCTCAGATCCTGGAGGTGAACTTTAATCCTGACTGTGATAGAGCCTGCAAATACCACCCTACCTTTTTTAATGATGTCTTCAGCACCCTATTTCTGGATGAAACAGACAGCTGCCATGTGACATGCATTGTCTAGCCACAGGAGGCTTGACTCTATTAATTTCCTTCCCAGATATGCTTGACAGCAAGATTTATATTTCAGTTCTATGAGCTGCTGATGCAACTATTTTCCTATACTGGTAACCCTGGAAAAAAAGTCATATCAGAAGAATATGTGTATACCATATACTGTATTGATAATCATTTTGTCTGCATTTTCGTTATCTTGCTTAGTTCTATAAATCATTGGTTTGTGTTGACCAAATATCTCATTTATTGAATATGGGAGACCTCAAAATAGGACAGTAACTGGAAACAATTGACTTGTTTCTCAGGTAGCCTGATTGCTTGCTTGCTGGGAAACATTGCACAAGTTCCTCATGTCAACATTAAAACTATAATTTACTGAATCATGTTGGAGTTTGTATATCTTTCTTATCTATCCCTCTGTTATAGAAAGATGTAAAATGTTCTGACGGGAAAATAATACGGTATTTCAGTGCAATGAACTACTAGGGTAGTGAGATGAAAGATTTGATGGCTCTTCCCATTTTTCTTATTTTAAAAAAGCAAACAAAACCCACAACATCTAGGAACCCTGTACTGCTGGCTGTCATCCTTAGCCTGCCCCTTAAAGAAACTAGATTTGTGAGAAGTGGTCAGTGCATCAGTGGATGCAACGTCTAGAGCAGCACAGGAATGCAGAAGAAGCCCGAAGGAATGAAAGGGATCTGGGAAGCTCTGCTAGAAGCCCAAGCAGCCTTTGGACTTCAAAGTTTAGGGCCTAAGGTAGAGGTATTTGGGAATGGGGTGTCAGTTTGAAATTAATCATTCCTAATCTCTCCTCTCTCCTCAAATCAGGGTAGCTGGCTGAAATTTAGCACTTTTAGGCTGTATTTATGTTGCTTTGTATGTATGTACAAGTTACAAAAATTCTGCTGTCCATCATGAAGTATATATTATGTGGGTAGTTGTTTTTTTTTTTTAAGCTAGTTGCAGCAATCAGGAGCTGCTTGAGAGCAAAGTACAGTTATAAAATTGCATAAATGTTCTAAACCTTGCTTCAGGCTTTGCAAATATGCAGCATGTTATCTCTCCTGATCAGGAAGGGAGAGAGATATTTTAGGCTATTTCAGGCTGGTCTGCAGAAACCTACTTCTTTCCACTGACTGGAACATAGGCTGGAGAAATAAACCATCTGTGTCTTAGGAAAATTCAGTCACTGTACAAGTGGGGCAGAGGGGAGAGCTGGATTGCACAGGCAGAAGTGGTGCTGACAGCCATATCAGTCTCCTGTTCATAAGTCAGAACTTTTTTGGACTCCTTACTTAAATGTGATTAAAGAAACATGGTGAAGCGCTTAACATAGATGGTGTGACTATTTCCGATGCAGGGAAAAAGTTTGTCTGTGATAGAGAATATAGTAACGGGTGCTTGAGACCGGACATAAGGGGACATGCAGTGCAGCTCAGCAGACGTATTTGTCACTTGTAGGAGAGCAAAAGGCACTTTCTGCTTTTAAAGTACCTGAAAACATGTAACAAAGTGCCTGTGGATCTAGAACAAAGGGGAAGGTTTCCCTCATCACAAAGGGAAAAGTGATGTCACACTTAGCAAACCAGAAGAATGACTTTAAAAAAAGTAGTAAGATTTGTGCAGTGGGACCACCAGCTGTGGGCAAAAATAGTCTGCTGTTGTGCTCTTAGGCAAAAGAGATGGTTTTATCTTATAGGAAGCAACTGGTTGAACTAAGCGTCCCAGATCTTACTATGTCAGCTACCATAACCCTGAAGAGGAGAAACCCTTGTTTCTATTTCTAAGTGGCTAAAGTGAGAAGGTGTGAGTAGGAGACACTAGTAGCTATGCTGTCTGTACTGCCCTGCTGGGCAGCAGACCCACCTATGGCCTGGCTGCCAGCTCCACTGTCAAGGTCCAGTGGTGAACTGGCATCTCACTGAGGGTCCAGGCGGAGTATGTTAGTGCTTTTTTGGCCAGTGCTGCTTGTGATGCCTCAGAGGTGTGTGCAGGGGGCTGCTGAATATTTGGGTCCTCTCAGTTTCTGTCCAGCTGCTCTGAATTTCCTGTTTTGTCTTGCCCATTGCAATGGTGAGGAGAAGAGATGAAGGGGCTATCTTTGAGGCTATAGCATCTTGTTGCCTTCAGTATTTTTCTGCTCAAAACCATTTAAAAACAATAAAAAACAGAGGAACAAGGTTAGTAAATTTACATGTAGTTTAATGCATTTAGCTGACACTAGATTGCACAGTGCTTCAAAGTGGGAAGGCACAAATTGTGAAAAAAATCTCATCTTAAACATTTACAGAGTACAATGACCAGAAGATAAATATCTGGCAGCCGTACTGGGACACATCATAGCACTAAAGCACCGTGTCTAGTGGTAAACATGAAAGATTCAGGCCACAATCATGCCTGTCACTGTTAGGAGCAGCTTTCTGGAAGCTGTGTTAATATATGGCTGGATTTCTTCTTCTGAACATGAAGTTGCAGTTCATGCTTATTTCTGGTAATAGTTAAAATGCTGTTGTCATATAAAATGTAATGCTATAACATAGAAAACTAGTACTTTTCAATCAGCACTATCTTTTAGTTTGCTATAAAACTCAGTCAGGCATACACCCCTTGGACTTGCCTAGTAAAGACATATTTGTTTTAAACAAGTACTGCTTAGTCAACTTTTAATTAGCAAACTAATGGTATAAGTAGTTCAGCTAAAAATAAAATAAGGCCATAACTTTATTTAGAAAATTCTTGTGGGGGAAAAAAAAAATTTTTTTGGCTGAAAAATGTTTATTCAGATTGCTTCTTGTTGCGATTGTCATTCCAGAGACGGTAATTGAGTGCAGAAGCCATGACTAGCCAAGCTAAATAAGGAACCATCAAATAAGCTGCTGTTTTTTTGATGTTATACCAGGAAGCAGTTGTAGCTGTTGCCGTACCAGTCGTGAGCAGGAGAGTCACCAACCCCTGAAACACAGGAAGGTAGTTAGCGTTGGTTTTACTTGTTGCATTTTCTTGACTAGACAGTCTGTGTGTGGCTCTTTCCACTTAGCTCTGGCACTTGTTGGATCCCTCTGTGAGTTAATTCCTTCTCAGAAAACCAGCCAGCAAAAAAAAGATAGATTTCTGCTGAGTTACGAGTTGAATTGACTCATAAAACGATACAACAGTCACAAGAAAGGGCATTGCAGCTGGGAGCAGGAGAGGGAGAATAAAATCCCCCTCACCCATACTCTCTTTTTTTGGCAGCGGGAAGTGCTACATTGACGAAAAACTCAGTGTGACTTTGAGCAAGTCACTTAGCTAAGTAAACTTATCCAGTCTTTTCATGTCATAGATGCTGCCTGAAGAGATGCAGTGTGAATGAATCTGATGGATTGCAAAGTCTTCCGCTATTAGAGCATTGCATATATATTTAGAGAACCAGGCAAATATTTTTTATTTTTATTATTGATTTTTATTTTTGAGGCAAGGTGTTTCTTCTCAGACTGCAGAAAATTAGTCTTGTCTAAAAATGGGTGCTGATTACCTGAGTAATGTTATGATAAGCTTCTTATCGCTGCTGTTTGCCAGAGATACCTAGGAATTTTAGTGGGGCATAAATGTTTACATTTTCTAGTCACACAAAGCTCTTATCAAAGGGTGGCAGAAAGAGTTTCTTGAAATCTAAACATTTAAGGATGTTGTAGATATGTAAATTCTCTCAGGTGGCTGCTGGGATGCATTAAAGAGAATTCTAGAGAACTTCTGCAAGCCATATTCTGTACTCAGGCTCATTTTCAGGGAGAAAAGATTGACACAAAACTTTTGTCTTAGCACCTTGCAAATGACAGCAGAAGCCTATGGTTAAGAAATTTACTTTTCCACTTACCCATCCCATTTTGTGAGCTCCAAAAAATATTGGAGTCCATGCCCAGTTTAATGCCAGCTGCCCTGCATACAGACCCAGAGGAACCACTGACTTTTCGTTGAAGCCCCCCAGTTCCTTCCACACCAGGTAGGAGCCGAATCTGGAGAAAGCAAATGTAAGGTGTAATTCAGTACTGTGGTTAGAAAGCAACCACACGTTCTTGATCGAATGAAATTACTTCAGTGCTAGGGTCTAAATTCATTTGGAAAACTAGATATCCAGGTACTACTTGGCAGAGTAACTGACTGCACGGGGTTGATCACCTACTGCAGATAGCCATATGGGGAGAGAAAAATTCCCTATCCTGCCAGAGTTCTTGCTTCTAGGTGCAGAGGAGCAGATGACCTACTGCATTTCAGTCTTAAAAGAGAAAGCCGTGTTGAAATGGAAGCAAGTCTAAGATACAAGAGTAAAAGGTAAGTCTCTAAATAGTGAAGAAACTGTTAATTTTAGTACTGGGAGATAGTGCTTTAAAAATAAATTAACAAAAAAAAAAAAACACAACCCACTAACTTTTTCAGTGGATGAAATGAATATAGGAGAAGTAGGAATTGAGTGGCATCCCAAAGCACAGGTGAGTGTGGGGATGGATGGTGTTAGAGCAGAAGGAACCCTATAGTCATTTTTCAGAAGGAAGGGGACAAAGATGGGGAGAACAAAGATTTTAGGAGTTCTGTGGAAAGAATTAACCACAAGGAGCATCCAGCACCCTTCCTGCCTGCAGGATCCTGGCTACTGAAACATCTTCCAAAAATATTTTAAAGATTTTGAACAGATCTTCTTAATGCCACAGAAGAACAGTTCACTGGAGGGATCCCAGAATGTAAGCTGCTAAAGACAGGAATTCTCAGGATTTGGGAGACTTACTAATGTAAGGTTTATTTTTGCACTGAAGGAGGCTGGTTAGAACAGAGAGCGTTCATCACCTCAGACTATTTCTTTTGCTCGTTTGACTTTCCCTTTAGACATTAGCTAGATTTCAATCCAGATGACTGCACAGCCATTCCACGTGACTGCAGTAGAATCCCCTGGATAATGCCAGATATTATACCCTCGTTTCAGCATTAGTAACTGAATACCGATTTCATCCTGGTGGGAATGTCGACTGGACTGCGCTATACTGGACAGCAGGGGGCTCATACAAATTTCTGCTGGCAGTGGAGCAAAGATGGAGACCAACTTGTAAGCATTATTTTTTTTAGGAGCAGACAAATATCCATAGAAGTAATTGCAAGGAGTTTGTCTTCATTTGTAGGTCATATGAGAAGGATGTTTGGGTTTTTTTGTTTAACCCAGTTAGTGACCCAAGCTTGCTTCTTGGCCATTACTTTCATAAGGACTAAACAATGCAGCTTTGATATTTTGGCAGTTTGATTGCAGAGAGTATTAAAAAAAAAAAAAAACAAAAAGAAAGGGGGCAGGGTAAGCATTAGAAACTTAACAGTTTATCTTCATAAAAGGCATCAGGACCCAAATCTGTTCCTAAGTGATTTACAGAGCCACAGTGCGGACTTACAGTTCTTTGTACATCTAACTTTGACTTCAGACCAAGATCACGATGTACAAATCTGCTAGGAAGCTAAATCTCAAGAAAGGCATGTAAGCTTATTAAATCTTGCTTTTAGTTATTTCTTGCTTTGAATATATTCAAGAGATTCTAATGAAGTGAGATGTCTCGATCATTCAAGGAATGTGTGCACATGATGGATTACAGAAGAAAAGGCCTGGTAATAAATACGATCTTTTCACTGAGCTAGACGTATAGTACATAACTGGGACCATCCACCTCAGAATATACTGATTCTGATATCATCAAAGTAAGTGATAAGCTGTCACAATTTGGATTTTTAAAATATTTAACTTGATATCCAGGTTTATGATGAGGAATCCAGAAACAGGGTTACAAATTGTGCAGTCAACTTGAAGGAAGCTCTTCATGGGAAAGCCACTCAGCTCTTGTCTCTTTGATAGAAGGCATTTTTTTATTCGCAGGACAGTAATGATCCAATTCAAATTCTAACTCTTGGGATATATAGGAGTAGACACCAATTTTAAAAAGTACACTCTGTAAAAGGAAAAAGAAAAGAGAATCCTGACAGGAAAGGAGGGACGGTACATGAGGCTGTAAAAATTACAAAGCTTTTCTGGAAAGAAAATGAAACCAAAATGGGAATGTGAGAGCCAATGTAGCATTCAGATACAGTTTCAGACATTGCATCGTTGCTGTATTTTGCAACAGGTGGTGTGGTACTTAAGATAACCTGCAGGATGGCTATGTAATGTTAAATTGCAAAAGATTTGGTCTCTTTGAAACTTTACATAGTTAAGCCAGTGCTATATACAAACTACAAATCACTTAAAACGTACTGTCATGGTGGAAGAAATGGGCTGGGTAAGCCATATAAAGGCATATTGCAGCCTAAAACCTATTACTTTGGATTAGCAACAATGTGTCTTTGATAGCTAGGAAAAAACATGTTGAATCTTGGTATGTAGCTAGTTCTTAATGACCAAGTGGGGAAGAGACACAAAGCATCACTTTGTGCTTGGGGGTTGTACTGACCTCTGAGGCTCTAGGAGCAGGGTGCTACCTCTCCTCTATGGCAGAGCTCACCAGAATTAACATAAAAGCACGTAATGTTGGGTGGACAGCTTCTGGAGCAGTCCGTGAGGAATATCAAAACTGCCCAATCTCCTGAGACAACCTACCTCTATAAATGTTTTTGCTACATCTTATTAAAAGTAACAGCTGCCAAAATACAGTAGTATTAAACTTTTGAGGTTCCTGTGGGAATGGTATTTGGCCTTGTGATTCCTTGTTCATTTGGCAGTAATTGCTGTGCTGTCAAGTATTTTAAACTAGTTAAATAAGGAGGCAGTAGATGGTTTCAAGCATTTACAGTTTAACAGCCTGGCAGTTTTATTTGAAAGGACATGTATGTTTTGATTTTTTTTTTTTTAATTGAGCTCTGTTAGAACAGTTCTATCCTAATTCTCCACCCTCCCCCCCCCCCCCCCCCCTTTTTTTTTTTTTTTTTTTTAATTTTTCCTAAAACTACTGAAGGACATACATAGAAGAAATCCCAGCGCTGCCTTGCTCCGTTGCTGCCAGCTTGGCAGGTCTTCCCCTCAGAATGAATGAGGAAAGCAAATTAATGGCAGCTTTTCAAACTCCTGCTTTTGATGTGGATACTTGTGCATACAAAAATGTCCTATCAAACCCACACACAACTCCCAAAACATGTTTTTACCTGTTAAACAGGCAGCTTGACACAGTTTCTTACAAACATACAGCCACAGGAATACAGTAATAGTGCTCTGGTCCAGCATTGTACAACAAGCGACTCTGAGATAAGTGCTTTAATACAATGTGAAAAACATACCCCATAGATGTATAGAGAGTTCCCCAAACAGGAGCAAACACCCAGTTAGGTGGACACCAGGATGGCTTCTGCAGAGATTCATACCACACTGGGATTTCCTTTTTGGTTATCTTGCTTCCTAAAAATCCTCCTGCATGAGGCAGGAGTGTGAAACCCACTGCTGGGGCCCAGGCTGGTGCCGCTTCCATTGAGGCAGTGAATCTGAAACAAACCCAAACATGTTGATTGGCAGAGCAATTTTAAAATGCAACTACAAAAACTTTCCATTTTTAGCATATTTTAAAAATATACATGTGTAGGATCTGATCCACAGCCTAGTCTTGTCACTGAGAAGGACTGCAGCTGGAATGAATGGATCTTGTACCAGCTTCACTGGACAATACTCACCCCCATAAAGGAACCTATCATTTACGCTGGGGGGGTGGCGGGGGGGAAGTGAGACCTTTACTTCCCTCTCAACTTTGTGCACTAAGATTACTGAGTTTTACCTACATAAATATCCTCACCCATAAGTATGCCAGAGGAATAAAGCAGTTTGATATTATATGAACTGCACTTGGGAGGGGGGGGGAATGTACTAAGAAGTGTGTATTTCTGTATTCACCAAAAAGCCCATTCACTCAATGAAATGGTGTAGTCAAGAGTGTGAAAAGAGTGTGTGCTTTCCTGTGCTTAAGCAAAGTAATTGTATATGTTGTGTTGTATTTTTAGCCTCAAAAGGGTGCTGAGGATGCTCAATAGCTAGTAAGAGTGGTGTGAATTAGTAGCAGACACTTGAGAAGCTGCCTCGGAAAATAAACACCCGGGAGGACAATGAGAAGATAAGTACTTAAATGATGTTTTGCTAAACAAGGAAGGAGATCTCAGTGGATAGATGGGGAGTACACCTGTGGCTTCTTCATGAAGCATTCAATCACTTGCAGCAATCTTAGCTGCCAAGCCCGTAAAGTGTACCAGATTAAATTTGCCTACAGAAGTAAGACTGAGTAACGCCTCGTTCTGGTAGGCCACACTGCTTTAGTTAGAGTACAGGCAGCAGTAAAAAAAGTAAGCAGGAAAAAGCTTCATTGCAGATTTTCTGGCCAAAAGCCAAATGCTACAGAAGAGCTGTGTTTAGCTTGCTAAAATGTAAACAGATTAGAGGTATGATAAAAAAGGGCAGAACTGAAATGCGTTATTTTCTCAAATATACAGTAGGCAAATACACCCAATTCCTGTTCATCTGTTACGCAGGAGGGGGAGACAGCAGGAAGGAATCGTAAGAGAGATTGCAGCAGTGGGGAAAGAGCAACTGTGGAAGCCACAGGAGAGAGAATAAAGCTTTAAAGCAACCAGCATTTCAGAGGCTCGTCAAAGAAAAGTGCCTTATTGACTTGGCTGTTGCCTTGGCCTATGTTTAAAAGTTTTTACTGCTATAGTTATGACTGCTGGGATGAGGAGGCAGGGAGTGGGGAAGAGGAAATCCCACTTGTAACAGATGTGCTTAAACTGATAGGAAATGGCACACAGATGACGTTGCATTGTCGCAGTTCTGTTGGTACAGTGGATTTCTGTTTGGAGAGCAGGTATAAGCTTGGCCAGCAAGGGAGCTCTCTTGCATTATGTTTTTTGTCCCTGTTCTCAGGGATCTGCCCATACAGTTATGCAGATTTAATGAAGAGATTTCAGTGGCTGGGACCGCAAGCCAGATTGCATGCGATCAAGAAAAATCCTGGTGACAGAAGCAGAGCAGAATTTTGAAGGCAAAAACAGAGAGTGTGGAGGGACTGGTAAAGCATGCAGGATTAGAAGGTTTGTAAGGAGTAAACAAGAAAGGGTATGTAGGCTGATGGGCTGTGGGCATGCCTCAGGGGAGAGTCGTGGGAGGGCAATGAGTAGGATTGCACACAAAAAAGGCAGCAGACAAAAGCGGTACAACAGTCAAAGTCAAAAAAAGAGCAAAAGAATGAACGAGTGAAAGAAAAACTAGGCAGGGAAGAATTCAGAACTAAGGTTAGGGAGAAGAAGTGGGAGAACGATGTGCTAGTCTGCTGGAATAGTATCAATTAGGTCTTGGGTGGAGGATGGACAACAAGGAAGGGAGGAAAAAAAATCTGCGTAGCTCATTGCTGTAGTCATTGCTGCCATGCTTCCTGCCTAATGGATTCTACTTGCTGTTTACCAGGGAGTGTCTTAAATGGAGCAGAGGAGTTAATATGTTCTCCTACACGTAGATCGGTATTGTTACTTCCCTGAGGGAGCAGGCTGTCAGCTGCAGTATACACTACTTGTCACCCGTATTGACAGCATGAAAGGCTCTGCTTTTACTGGGATGTGAAGGAATTGATATGCAGGAGCAACAAGGTGTACTGGGAACAAGAGCTCCAAGCACAATGATTCTCTTCGGTTGCCTTCAGATAAGTAATTCCCAAAGGTTAAGTTAGAAATTTAAAGTTACTAAGATCTCACTAATTCTTAACCCGTTGCTCTTGCTTTGCCTACAGAGAGAACGCTAGGTTTAGTTCTCTACACATGCTGTAAAGTGCTGGTCATCTGTGCAGCTCCAGTGTGGCTGTCAAGTGCTAATTTTTTTTTTTTAAAGTGATAAGCAAGGACCCAGAGGGTTTTATGCTTTATTTGGACATAACAATATCAGGGTGGTTTCCTGCAGGTATTAAGCAACTGGACTTTGTCAGGGGTTTTGTCAGCTTCTCCCCAGGGAAGAAAGTCTGAAAGTGTTCTGCAAGCTGAAAGTGCTAAATGCTATCAAACTGGAAAAATACTGCTCTGCTGCAGTCAGTAGTGAATATGTAGCTACACATCTGTCCCTCTTCAAGTTGGAGGAAGAACGCTGAAATAATTCTTAAGTGACAAGAGAAAGAAAATCAGGCAGGCAAACAGAAATGGGGAAGGCACAAAGCAAAGAAACAGGGAAAGTGAAGCCGTGTATGAACAGGAAAGGGGAAGAAATAGAAGTGAAGAGATTGAACACACTGGCTTGAATTGAATGTTGGTGTCCCAGTCTTTTGACTGCTATTACTACTAATTATATACTATGTTTTCCAATAGTATTTCTCGGGACTTCCCAAGCATGTCTCTTGTATAGTACCAAGGAGAAAGAGGAATGAAGCCATGCAGCAAGATCAGACTATGCTGGTAGGCTCGGCCTAGTCGACCACAGCTGTCCATCAGCAGTGGGAGTTCCTGTATTTTAGTTCCCAAGAAATGAAATACTAGTATCAATTTCCCATAAAAAGCAGCAGCTAACTCAAGGAGCAGCACTAGCTGATTTTGGAAGAAGCCATGTCCATCTTCCTCTGGCTACTTGCTGTAGGTCTTTAGTCAGTAAGTGGAAGGCGGGGGTGCACTGGGGAGTTGGTGCGTTCGGTCAGTGCTGTAGCGTTTGTCTGGTTAGCTGTGCAGCACGAGATCCGTGCAAGGTTTATATAATGCCCAGTACAGTTTTTGAAAGTAATGTAATCACGGAGTATGTAAAGGCTTATCAGCCCTGAATTCCTTCTAGTGTATAGCTGATAATCCTGAAATTACTTGGTGATAACTTACACGGCACAGGCTTGCTAACACAGCCCCTCTGGCTGCATCTGTATTACACAACCTAGGAATAATTACTACTTTCCCAATCATATCCCAGCTCCACTTCAGGGTGAGATCTGGTTGCACAATATTTTTGCACCCTGATTTTTCATGCTGAAGAAACCGGGATGTCTGTGGATGATATCTGCAGCGTGCCCAGCAGATACCTGCCTCTAAAACCACCACAGTTGGAGATCTTTTCTCCACACACACACTTAACTTGTTTATTTCTGCTTCCACCTCTTATCTCTGCCCTGCAATATTTTCTTCATCATCCTGCCCACTTTCTGTTTAGCCTTAGTCTGACTTCAGGCAGTTTCAGCAGTGCAGTGAGGGCTGCAGCAGGCCAGTTTGTTTTACAAACACGTTAAAATAATTTTTCTAGGTATTCAAAACATCCGACTTGCCCAAAGATGGTTCTAGCTACATAAAGTAACAGGAGAAATAAAGGGGGGAGGGGGACCAATACTGCAACTTGCTGCCTGCTGGGCTTCTGTCTTTTTGCAGGTTGTTTCTCTGTGGTGGTATAACACGCAGAAAATCAAACAGAAGCTTTCCGTGTCCTCCTCTTTCTGGAAAAAAACAGTGCGCACCCAAAAAAAGGGATGGGGTGCGCTATGGGGGGGACTAGAGGAGCTGGCTTGCTTCAGCCTGATGAAAAATGAACTAAAACGCTCCTTTGCTTTGAGCAGGTCTCTGAAAGGCAGGTGAATCCCTTCCCCTTCTCTGGGCACTCAGAGAGAAGGAGAGAGCTCAGTCAGTGGGAAGGAGAAGGAAGGAAAGGACGACTACTTTCATTGCATTTTCTTACATCCCTGTTCTGATAAACCCCTGACTAATCCCTTTCTTGTGCAACTTGGTGCTGGCTACCCAATCACATGGGGCTTAAATTACAGCGCTCGCATTAAAAACACGAAGGAAAATCTCTCAGCATGGCTAAATCACCCACGCGGTTCTGGGGTTTCTAGTCCCCGTTTTTTTGGGTTAACTTGCCAAGCTGTGAACATACTATTGAAGGGGGGGTCCCCAAGATACATACTCTCCCTCTCGTCCTCTACAGTATATTTTTTTGAGGGCAGATAAGGTTCTGCCTGGCTCTGAGGGGCAGCATGCAAATTTTCCCTGGGGAAAAGGCTTCTTCCTGAGACAGCTGTCTGATGAATTAAGGGGTGCATACTTAACTTATATTGATAAACTATTTATGTCTGTTGTGGCTTTAAAGCCTCCTGGGAAACCGCAACACTAAAACCAAAATTATATCACAGTCTGTGATACAGAATACCACAAAAAAGCAGTCTTACCTTTGTTATCTAATCTCAAGTAAAAGAGAAACTTAAAACAGTATATATTATATAAATACAATATAAATATCTAACAAGTGTATAGTATATGTTTATGATAGGTATTTATAACTAAAAATAAAAATTACGGTATTTATTTAAGGATACAATGCAAGGCGTACTCATCAGGTTCAGAGACAACAAATCTCACTGCCTGGGTTACACTTCTTTTAAAATACCAGAGCACAAGTTGTGCAAATAAATCTATGATTTATTGAAGATTTACATACCGGGAACTCAAATGTACGCTAGAGCATCATCCTCCCAGGTGATAATTTGCCATTTACTGCTCAGTCTCTTCTAATTTTCCCTATGTATGTTTGTATAAAATCCTCTGCACGCAGTGTACTTTAAAGACAAAACATCCCTTTGGCTACCTTCCTTCCAAACAGCTAGCCAGCCTCCTGCTGTAGGTCTGTCATCTTCTTTGTCCACCCGCTTGGAAAGTGTCATCTACATCTATTCTTAAAAAAGTTAAGTTTCTCTTGGATATTTCTAGCTTAAGTGCTGCCTAGGCCTGACTCTTTTCAGCTTGCCAGGTATTCTTTTAACAGGGTAAAACATAACAGGCACCACATCCAAGGGGTGCTTCAGTAGCAGTGGGACGTTCGTGAGGTGTCAGCACTGGTAAGTCTCAAGTGCTTTACAAATGGTCTGCGCCCTTTACAGCAAACCAAAGATAAAACGGTCGCGGCTGAGGTGCACTCACAGCCGCAGCGTTACGACCTGGGCTGCTGTGGTGGTTTGCAGGAGCTGGACTCTGCCCTGGGCTTTGCCTCTGAAGGCATCAAAGGTGAAGGTCACAACCGTGAATCTTCCCAGGGCTTGACGGGCGTCCAGTAGAGTGAACTGTAATCCAGTGGCCTAACGCAAGAGGGGCGCCTAATCCAGTGGCCTAACGCTGCCGGGGCTCGCGGGGCAGCTGGTAGTAAGGGTGCCTAAAAGCTCTGGCGCACAAGCTAAACGCAACGAGAGCAGCCATTACTCTGGGAGTTTTCACTGAGGTACAACCTCAGTTGGCCCAGCTGATAACTTGCCACCCAGCGTCTCAGCTTAGCACAAGAGGTATTGCCGCTTACGTTACAGGTAGAGGCAGCCATGGAGTGGGATGTAGTCATATATATCCTGTATTGCTGCCCACATATTTCAGCTAAGTTGAGAAGCTCACTGGCTTTTCCAGGTATTGTACCAGGTGAGAAGCTCACTGGCTTTTCCAGGTATTGGACCTGGAGGCTGACAAAAATGGAGGAAACCTTCTCACTGAGCAGCATAGGATAGAGACTAGAAAAGCGAGCAAAATCTGCCCACTGTGAGCCTTTTGAATCGGCCCGAATAAAGAGTCAACAGAATTTCTTGCTATTCTGATCCGTATGCCTTCTGCCGAGTTGAACTAATCCAATCTGTTGTATTGTGTCTGTGCCCTGTGAAGCAGTCTGACTCACTGCTTGATACTGTTTCATAACGTGCAAAGTCGTTGCACAACGGCAACTTTGGCATGGCAACTTTCACTTTTTCTTTTTTAATCTGCTATTGAATGCTCAAATTAGTAAAGTGCATTTTGTGCTGATTTATAAGCATTACTTACTAATACACATTAAACAAGCCCTTTCACCCTTAAAGAAATGTCCAATTAAAAGCAAATTACAGCGACGCTGAAAGAGAACACCTTTACTTAAACATCAGCCTGAAATAATCTTCACTCGAGCGCGCGGAGTGCATGTGCATTGTGTGAGAAGACAGAAGGGCAGGTCCCGGTGAGACCAGAGGGGTAAGCAGCGCGCTGTCTGCTGTTCAGTCACCGTGCCTCACTGAGAGCTGCGCAGCCGTGTGCTTGCACAGCTGGACAGCTGTAAACCATTGGAAAACTCCTATGCAAAACCAAAATTAATAATAAGCTTCCTTGTTTAGGTCCCTATTTTTTTTTTAAAAAAAAAAAAAAGCACTTTCCATGCCAAATGCTGGCATGGAAAAGCAGTCGGTGTTTGCCTGACTAAATCCTCTCTGCCCGTGAGCTGCGGTACCGTCCCGGCCCCGCCAGCAGAAACGCGAACGGCAGCAGCGGGTGCCGATGCCCCCCGGGCAGTGCCGCCCCCCGGGCGGTGCCTCCACCCAGTGCCCGCGGCCTGTTCCCGTCCTGCCCGTGAGGGACCTGCTGGCCAGGGCACGCAGGCCTGTCGCCAGCTGCTTCGCGCTCGCCACAGGGCGCCCTCCTCAAACTCCTCCGCCCGCCCGGTCCTGGGGGAGGCGAGGGCCACCCGGGGGTGCGGCGGCGGCGGCACCGCTCCGAGAGCCACCGGGACCCACGCAGGGGCTGCCCGGGATGAGGCGGGGACCGGTG